TTCCACCCCCTAGTACGGCAGGTTAGAAGAGAATTCAATGTTGCGATAAATGATGTTGTCCGCGAAGAGGTTGAAAAATTATTAGAAAACGGTTATATCACAGAATCGAAGTACCCTCAATGGGTCGCCAACGTGGTCATGGTGGAAAAGAAGAACGAAAAGTGGCGGATGTGCGTAGACTTCAAAGATCTGAAAGAAGCCTGCCCAAAAGACTCATTCCCACTGCCTCATATTGACCAGCTCATCGATGCAACAGCCGGGCACGAGCTGCTAAGCTTCTTGGTCGCCTACTCAGGCTACAATCAGATCCTCATGGAGGAGGAGGACCAGGAAAAAACCGCTTTCATCACCCACCAGGGGACATACTACTGCAGAGTTATGCCGTTCGGATTGAAAAACACAGGGGCAACATATCAGAGGTTGGTGACCAAAATGTTCAAAGATCAACTCGGCAAGACCATGGAAGTATACATAGACGACATGTTGGTCAAGTCGAAAAGGAAGGAAGACCACATCGACCACTTGAGGGAAGCCTTCGACATACTCGGCGGGCGCTCTTGATCTCCAAAATGAGAGTCTAAAAAAAGAATAAAAAGGAAGAGCCCAAAAGAGTTAGTAAAGATAGAAAGGGGAGAAGGCCGCAAAGTGTAAAAATAACGAGGAAGAAAAATCACCCTCAAAGCTATCCCGGATTTTCCTAGTGACAAATCGGCATCCTTAAGCGCTTGTAGAGTCATGTTATCGGCGGCACAGCAAAGAGGGAGCAAAGAAGGGACCACGCTCGCCGTGTCAGCCAACAAGTTGCAGTCCAAAGGGATGATAATCGAACGAGAAGATCCATCCATTCTCACCTCAACCCGGGTAAACCCTTCGTCGAATATTCTCTCTCCTCGGCTGAGGAGGGAACGTCAACCCGCTCTGACATTGACGGATCACTCCTCGAAATGACCGCAGTTTCCTCTAGTCGCTCCCCTCCTTCTACGAAAGCAATCTCCACATTTGAAGGGGGCACGAATCTGCATCCAAAGCAATGTCGCCTCCTGGTTCGGTCGTGGTCAACTCGGGATCACCCCCCGCGGGCCCCTTATTCTCGGTCGCTTTGTCGTCAACCTCTATTCTCCGTTTTTTTAACGGAGCCTCTTCCTCCTCGCCCTGCGATGACTCATCCACCAAATGAAACACTGAAGAAGCTGGAATCTTCGCTAGTGGGGCAACAGCCTGACGACTAAGTCTACGTGAGGCAAGGGTCCGAGAAGGAACAACAATCCGAACAGACTCGCCTGCAGCTACGGCGAGTAGAGGCCCAATTGAAACACCTGACTAACGAAAAGTGGGAGTAGGAGCCCTCGCCCTCCTCAGAATCCTCCGACCTACCAATAAAGAAAGACAAGTAAAAAAGTAGAGAGAAAAGACGGCATGAAGGTCAAAACGAATACGATCCAAATGAAATAACTCACCGATTGAAGGTTTGCGCCTAAACCTCTCAGTGAACTGCGACTACTCACGGCTCCCCACCGTGTTGAGGCAAAATTTGGCTCACCCGAATGTTGGCGACTAGCGAAGGAGGATCCTTCTCGGCTACATAAAAAAGAACAGAAGGGGGAGAACGATTAGGTCACCAAAGAGAAACAACAAACAGCTAGTTGGGAGAAACACTTACGAGAAAAGTTCCACGCCTTAGGAAACTCATTAGGGTTCAACACCACGTGCTTCGTCCTCACGTAGAAGAAATTAACCCAAAAATGACAATTTTTCTTATCGTCCATCTTCACCACTAATCCCTTGGTCCCATGATGGCAAAGGTGTATCATCGTATTCCTGTGAAAACTTGGGGCGAAGAGGTGAAGCGGATGAAGGAGAGAAATCGCACGGTTGGCTAGCTCTGCATACTTGATAAGCATAAGTAAAAGCTTATAGATATACGGGGAGAGCTGGGTCAGACAAACGCCATAATAGCGGCACAAGTCCTCCGTCAAGGAAGGAAGAGGAAGCGTATAGCCGACGACATGCGTAAAATGCGTAGTATCCTGGCGATGATTTAGAACCACATCGTCACCAGCCGGAATAAGGTCGACATGGTTTGGAATTCGCCATTTAGCCCTGAATTCAACAAGTTCCGCCGCATCTATCTCAGAAACGACAGGCTCAGGATCATCTTTAGATCGCTTCGAGAAGGCCGACTTGGTCCTCCCTGAACGAGGAACTATCTCACCCACAATGGGGAAACTCTCATCTTCTACAACAATGGCCACTCCTTCGTCATGAGAAGTCATGTCCACAATCAATGGGACATGATCAGAAACTCTCTCAAGGTTAGAAGAAGCACTAGCCATTTTCTATCATGCATATGGGAAGAAATTGCAAGTATAAAAGGGGTAATAATAGCAGAAAACGCTAGAGAAGGGAGAAACAAGGATACAAAAATTCTGAGAAGAAGAAGGGAAAGCTTGAAGATTCAAATGCTTAAGAAATGCAGCAGGTCAAATGAGGAGTTCACGTCCCTATTTGTAAGAATACTAACACCCTAATCAAGAAGGCCAAGCGCCGCCACATTGATTTCGAAACGAAAGGAGCGTGGTAAATGACGTAACGTATCGGGAACATGCACCATAATGACGCATGATGAAATGATGTCATTGCAAACTGACGTAACGGTCAAATATGGCTCTCGAAGCGCCACGTTGTCACCTCGCCCTAAGAACTTTATTACTCGACCTACGCGCCCAGATTTCTCAAGTTGCAACTAGCGAAGTCCACCCATCGATCTCGTCCAAAAATAACCTCGACAGGCGGAGGGACTAACTGTATGGGTCAAAATCTGACTAAGGAAATTTGGCACAAGGTTAGATTACCAAAAGCCGATTAGGCCGAGGTCCTGGACAAGATTGAAGAAACTAACGAGCGAGCTGATCAATCGGGGCCGAGGTTAGGAACTTTGGCCGGCCATAACGGCTAGCTTTGTAGTAAAATATTTTAAGGGAATATTCCACCGAATATTCTCTGTACTTGTACTTTAAGTTAGGTAAGGGATATGTCTCATATAAGGGGGAAGGGAGAGAGAAGAAAGGGGCATGTAATATTCTATATGATAAAAAGTTGACTCTCAAGTAAATTACAAACATCGTCTTTCCACAAAGATTCAATTTGTTGTTCATCCCACACTTTCTCGCAGATCCGAAAAAGCTCCCTGTATTCCCATGTTTGTTTGTCTTACATCATTGTCAGAGAGAAGAATCATCCACCTCATTCAATATTTGGGTGAATCACTCTCTCTATTTACATTTATTGTCATTTAATATATCTATTGCTTATCATTATTCCCCTACACACTCATAACAGTACCATTTAATACTCATTGTATTAAATTGATTCAAATGCAATTATACGTTGTTTGTATCAATCAATTTCAGATCTACGATTTATTATATTTAACTATCACTATCTTCTTATTTTATTAGTTTAATAAAAAGGCTTAATACTTTTTGGTTAAACAGTATTTAAATGCAGACATCTTAATTTTAAAAAAATAAATGAGGCCTAACTGTATTTAGGAGTGTTAACCGTTCGCGTTTTTAGCTGCAAAAGGAATTGCATGATAAATTGAGAAGGAAACTGGCATTAAAACTCCTAAATTCGCCAGAATTGACAAGTCTGTTCCTTAATCTTTCTTATAGTAAATTAATAAAGTTTTTTCTCAGCTTATTTGTATACAGGATTTCTTAGTACCATATGTCTCTCTGCTGAGAACAAAATCAACAGCCACCATATATTTTGATATCAGGCTTCAATTTAAACAAGGCGGAATACCTAAAAACCTCCTTAACTTTGACACGGATTATTAGTTACACCCTTAAACTATTCATGGTCTTAATTACCCCTCTTAACTTGGCCTTTTGAGAGTCATTACCTCCATTGACGCTGAAGTGGCAAAAAGTGTGGATGCACTCTCTTTTAAGCGTGTGGGAATGAAAAAAAATTAAAAAATCAGCTTACAAGTAGGTTATGTTTTAACTTTTAATTGCATATAGTCATATATAATGATTTATTTGTTACAACTATGTATTTCTTCTTGCTTCATCTTGACATATAATGTGGATTTTACTCTAACTTTTCTTTTTAATTTCTTCTATAGATATAATGTCTATTTGTTCCAAATGCATATTTCTTCTTTTTGTTTTGGGCCAAATTTATAAAAGTTTGGTTGGAACTCCATCATGGTGGAGTACTAGTTGTGTATTTTCTGTTATTTGTTGTCTTTAAATATAATATCTATTTATTTTAATTGTGTATTGTTATTTTCGAGTCAAATCAGTAAAAAAAATGGCTACAACTCCATTATTTTTTATCAAATAAAAAGGTATAGCCAAAATAATGAACTTGCAATTGTACACTCTTTTATTTCTTCTTTTGATTCAATGACTATGTAATTCAACCTTGTATTTTTAGTTTTTCTGTAATATCTATAAAAAAAAAATATTTTTAGAGCTCCATAATTTAGAGCTATAAGAAATTATAGTCAAATAATAAAAATCAAACTATATTTTTTTATTAATCAATTGTATAAATCTTTATTTTGAGGTCGAATTCAAAATCAATAACTAAAACATTATTATTTTTAGCCAAATAAAAAAAAATAGCCTATATAATGTAGTTCTAACTTGGTTTTATTATAAATATTATTAGAAAAAGATTATCTAAAAAAGTAACACACTTAAAAAGGTATAAAATATATTTTATTTTTCATAAAAATACTACAGGCGAGTGCATTCCACTTTCCTAAGATGAGATCGTCCAAGAGGGTAACAACTATCGAAAGTACAGGGGGTAATTAAGACCACTGATAGTTTAAGAATGTAATCAATAATACGTGACAAGCTTAGGGAGGTTTTAAGGTATTTTGCCTTTAAACAACACTTGGTCCTCTTTCCAACCAGATCTATAAGTTAATCATTTCACGTGGTACCACAATGCATTAGAGGGTTAGAGAAAATAAAACTAGAAACGCGATGAGCTACGACCTATATTGGAATATACAACTTTAAATATTTTTAAAGAGTCAAGAAAATAATATGATGAAACATTACAAGTGATTGCTTTGCACTGATAGAATTTGGCATTCTCGTCTATTTACAACATGCTAAGCACAACAGGAGAAGTTGGTATTAGTGATTTCAAGATTGAAACTTGGGATTAGTTGGTTGTTTGTTGTACAATGATCCTGCAGCTGGAACTTCAGCTTGTGAAGAGACGGTTGCGGAAAGTGGCTGGAAATTTGTGTTTCCAACAAACCAGTAGAGCACCCACTTCAAATTGCAGAGTGTGTACTTGAGAGCTTTGGTCCAATTTTCCTGCTTATTGAAGCTCTGGGTAATGGAGTAACTTTCAACTTTGTCATTGTCAATCCTGCAATAAAGCCATAGATAATTAAGCAACAGTTACAGTACTCTAGTTGAAATGCATCAGACCAGAACTTTGTTGGAGAACGCCTATTCTATATCTAACATCGAGTCAAGTAATCTATGGTGCAATTGTGGTCTCCAATATGTACATCCTAACATATGCCATATGAAAAGCTCAAAATTCACTTCAAAGCAGCAGTTCGAAGATCAAGATAAATTGGTGTAGTACAAAATAACAGCAGACTCATAAAAGTACTTCGCAAATGGGACCTAACCTACTGTATAAGATTGAGGTTCTAAGGCTAAAAAGCATCAGGTTTAGCTCCTTCCATGTTGGAATTAGTCCAACTCTCCCTTAGTTAAGTCCCCACTGGTGCACGCAGTTGTCTAAGACATATTACAAACTCATATGAATGACCATGCCAAGTCACTCACCCCTTTACATTACCAACCTAAAAAAGAAAAGGGAAAAGCAAAGAAACTTATGTAATTATTTCAACTGATGTAAATTGATGTCATTGCTCGAACTTCAAGCTCCTTCTTTCAGGGATAAAATGGTGGAAATAAGCAAGCAACCTTATCATAAAAACAAAATCGACCAAACTCTTCTTAGCAGAAATTCTGACTACCAATTACACAATAGCAATGTATCTGAGAAATGTAAATCCGAGATTTACTAACATTTTGCTAAAAGATTGAAGCTTCTATGGAATCACGCTTCTTGAATATGCAGAGGCTTACTTGTAAGGAAGCTTAAAACATTTGTCAGGACGAATATTGTTCTCCCTATCTTTTGAATTTGCAAAGTCGGCGAACTCCTTTAGGCAGGTCAAGAACAATGTCATTGCTTTGTCATATCGTGTGCTCCAGAAGAGATTTACCGGGCCAAATCTTCAAAAGAGTAAGAGGGATCACATTAGTTATTGGGATCACATTATCTACTTCTAAAAGGTAAAAGTTTGCTATTGGAAAACCAAAAACAGTGTCTGTTACTCCCAAAGTTCTTTTTTCTTTTATAAGCTGCTACTGCCTAGGTATTAAGATAACTGGAAGGGAAGATTCAAAAGAACTGCCTCCAAAAAGTGATTTTGGAGTTTGTACATTTCATTCACTATTATCAAGTCGAAAGCTCAATGTATTACAATGAAACGACGTCAATATTAAACAAACTACCCCTCCTACATTTACTGAATATAATTACTATTGCATCATCACCCACCTGAAATCAACTTATTTGTATCAAATTGACATACTGGTAATAAATATCTTTGGGAAAAAATGTTTGGAAAAAAAAGAATAGACTTACAGTTCATAAGTATTGTTATTGGTATCCATGATCCGAGGATAACTTCCCATAGGAAGAATTTTTATCCGATATCTGGAAAGGGAAAATCAAGGATACGCATCGGACAGATAACAACAAGAACACTACGCTTTACGGGAAAAAATGCAATATATTTTAGTGTCTAGCTTCCAAAAGTTTATATGCTGTCATACTTAGTATTGTTTATCCGTGCTCTATGAAGCTGAACATTAACTCTAGTCAGATCAAGTCTACTTGAATAAACATGGCAACTTGGTGATTGGGTAAAGAAAATCTATGAAGGCTTGAATAAGAAAAGTTAGACTGGATTAAAAATACACAGGTTATTCAAAAATTCCACAAGGACTGAAGGACCATTTGCTAATTTGAGCGGTAAGATCAAAAGATCCAACAAGAACTTTATGCACCTTGGATCGGACCTAATCAAGATCTATCAAAAACAATTTAAGATTCATAATGCATAAGCACCAACAGTTCTTAGGCTGAGAGTTGCTACCTGACAAGCAAACTAGGCAGTAAAAGATTGATAAAGTTCTGGATTCAATCAATCAAGGAAATGACAGAAAAGGATTATATTTTAACAAATAGATAGATGTATATTTCAATAAGGATACTGAAACTTTGGCCGGAAATGTTGAGCCATTGTATGGAGAAGAAGGCAAGCTTGGCCCCATGCTGCATTTATCTCGTCCCACTCAACCTAAGCATTTATCATAAATGTTGAACATTTTAGATAATTAAAAAAATTAAAAAAGAAGAAAGATAGTATAATTACGATGAGAAAAAATGACCAGACAAGAAAGTATGAGATACAGTATCATAATATGAAATAATGAGTCCTTTCTGCCATTTAAAGTGTAGCACAAAATAACACTTCATAAATGCAAAGAAAAAAAATAGGTAAATGAAAACAGCTACTACCAGATAGCATTATTCAAGATGTCTAAATGAAGTACAGCAGTCAATACACCATACAGAATTCATCTAGTATATTCTCTAGTACTTGCACAGCATTTATTTCTCCATTTCTTTCATCAGATTCTGTATTAAACAGGAGATAGAATTGAAGATGTAGCATAATTCACAGTCGCCTAAACAGAGGTTTGCTCTCTCAACCAATTTCCTTGACCTATTTCTGTTTTCAACTAACAAATTTACTTGACTCCTTCTCCAACCAATAACCCAAAAAATATATAAATTTTATAGCATATTTTGAATGTTAATCAGATATATTTTTTTTGATAACCAAAAAACTAGTATTATAAAGAATATTAATCTGATATATTGAGGAAGTACTTTAAGAGAAAATACAATTACAGTATGCAATATCAAACACTGCAGTAAAGCATACTGCTGACTTTATCTACCAGGAACCACACAATTATATCCAAAAAAATTATAGTAACATACCGGAATTTTAGGAAGTCTTCCGAGACGAAAGTTGTTAATTGTTCCGAATTCACCATCATACCAGATTGGGAATGCATCATTGAGCACATTAGTCTTCTTTAACAGCTCTAAATGAGCTTGTGAAACTTCTGTCTTAGCTAAAATTGCATCTCTCTCTTCCTGCAGTAAAATGATCATTTTTAACACTGATTTCCTTCCTCCAACACAAGACACGACACATGACCAAATCTTGTCTCAAACAGGAAACTAAATATGTCAGATACAAACAGACGCATGGTGAGAAGTAGCAAGAACCTGATGTGATATCAATTGAAACTGAAAGTTGTTGAATTCTTGCCAGTACCTGGCAAAGAGAAGGCATGCTAACTATTAGCAATTAGTGATAAGAAATCTCACACGACTATTTAATTAATAGGTATCATTTATTACACTATTGGTCCATGCAACCAAGCCCGGCTATAGTGACAGGTACTCTTTTAGTTGTACGTTTCTCTACTTCAGGCTATTCCGAGTTCCTTTATAATACTACAACAACATCATCAACCACTACATCCTCAATCTCGAGCTAGTTGGTGTCAACAAATAAGGTAAATAATTTTATTAATGATAGAAAAATCTATGGTATACAAGCAGCAAAAATTGGAGAATCTACAACAGAATATGACTCCCTACGAATCACCACCAGATCTATGTACAAACTAGGATCTCATGGGTGCACCGAAAAGAAACAATATGTGTCTCCTTGCTACTAATTTGAGTTTTACCCCCCTTTAACTTTGCTTGCTTCTAACTTCTTATGAGCGGTTTTACGACCTTAATTTTTCAAACAGTCTCCTAAACTATATTTATGACGGCTAGTTGCTGCACCACCAACAACAACAACCCATTAAAATCCCACTAGTGGAGTCTGGGGAGGATAGAGAGTACGCAGACCTTACCCCTATCCCGAAGGAGTAGAGAGGCAAAAGGTGAAAATGCAATTCAGATCATTGAGAATTACCGCTCCTCCAACTCCTTAAAGCGGCTAGATTTTAACTCTAGCTCCTTCAGTTCGGCAGTGACCACAGCACATTGCTTCTCTGTTTCTTCTATTGCTGCTTCAAGTTTTCGCTCTTCTTCTTCTATCTTCAAGAGCATGAAAACACATTAATGTCAATAATTGCTCTTCAATACAAGAGATTTTACAAAAAAGTGCAGTAGACGTTTTTGCAAAAAACGTCTGCGCTAAGCCTCGGCTTTCTTTATCCACAACTGTGTTTCCCATTTTATTCTAATATATTAATTTTGTAATATCCTCGCATTCATACCAACTATCAACTGAATGCACTAGGAGGTCTAAGTTTTCCTAAGGTACTTCCATGCTGCATCAGGTTATATAGCATCTTAATTTATTTGTTCTCTATGTCATGTATAAAGGTGAAAACTACAATGTCCTTTTATGTGACTCAAAGCCGTTAAGCACCTTCAATTTCTCCTTCAGAAAATCAGCCTCACTAAGAACATTTCTTGCTTCTCCCTCTAGTCGCTGAAGGCAAGCTTCATAGGCTTGTATGTCCCTGTTAACATCTTCAACCTCCTTATCAAGTTTATCAGACAACACTCTCATGCATTCAAGACACAACGGTTGCTCAATCTGGGTCTGCGTTGAGGCAATATCAAAAGCACGCTTTAGCACAGTGATGGTGGAGTGAAACCCAGAATTATTTGGCTGTGTAGGAGCATTTTGAGGCCCACCATCTGGTGATGGAACATTTGTACCAGCTCCATCAGATGTAGGCTCACATTTATACACTGAAGCAGCTGGTGGAGGCAAAACCACGAATGATTCTTCCATGGCCTTCCCAAACTGGCTTGCATCTGGTTGAGCGGATACTCCTCGTCCTCGGGGCGGAATCCCTGGTCCCTGATTTCTTTGCTTTGGCAATACGACGTAGGAATGTTCCATACGACTCGACCCTATAACACTACCAGCTCCATGCATTGAAGAACCCTGCATCCCTGCACAAAACCCCCAAATCAGCAAATCATAGATGTATTATCTGTGCTTGTACTATTCCAGAGGACAAAGAAAAGAAAACTAACAACAAAATGAGGATCTTTGGGAACAAGAAATCTACGAATTTCATATTTTATGGAAATCCAATATTATTTAGAGGGTGTTTAGGTAATCTATAAGCGGGTCAAACTAGTTTATAAGACCTTTTAACTTATCTACGCGCCTGATAAACACCAAAAGTGCTGATAAGCTAAAATCATCCAAAAGCCATAAGTTGTTCCCTCTCCATTCCATTTTCTTCATTTGTTCTTCTCCTTATTTAGATACTTTTTAATTTATAATTTTTGTAAATAAATTCAAAGACACATTTTAATGGAAAATTGCTTATCAGCACTTTTTTACCACAAACACATCAACTGTTTATTAGTATTAGTTTCTGCACTTCTACCCAAAAATTTAAAATTTCGGTTTCAGCACCAAAAAGTAGTTTTCAGCACTTAATGCTTATGAGCTATTTTCAATCAGCTAAACCAAACGGACTCAAAACTCTAAACGTTGCGTCCTCCATTGAACTAAGTAGCATCCCAAATTAAAGCTTCTAACACACAATTACTTCACGAATAAATTCACTAAAGTAAAAAGCTTTTATTGCTACAAAAATTAAAAATAACCAAAATTTTCCAATTATTACCTCCCAATACAGCAGTTCACATAATCTTCTATACATGATTAATTGATTGATTGATGAATATATAAAGATAGAGAGAGAGAAGCGGAGGCAAACCGGAGCGAGAAGGAAAATCCGGGAAGAATTTATCGGCATAATTATCGACGCCGACGATGCACAGAGGATTGTGGCAGTTCTGACAGAGATACCGAGGAAGATTCGGGTCAACCGGTAAAGTCCGACCCTTATCCGGCGTAAGGTTATTAGTACTACTGCTGCTATTTTTCGTCATGGATTGAAGATCGATGAATTCTGTATTTTACTGTTGGAAAATTTAGTTATATGAATTTGATGGAATATTTGAAAGCTCCGTTAACAGGTGGATCGGAACCTTTTTCCGGGTCGACTTGGTTTTAACTTTTAATGCGATTACTCAATAATTTAAAAATTAAAAACATAAATATAGTTTGGATATTTGGGCCGCTAATTTTATGGCAAATTTAGCCTAATATGTCATATGCTACTAGGTGATTGATAGGAAGGCCTAGACTTTAAATGTTATCCTAGTTTTGAATGTATTTAGAGTCCGTTTGGCTTAGCTGATTTAGAGTAGTTGATAAGCATTAGGTGCTGAGGAGCACTTTTAAGTGCTGAAGCTGATTTAAAAAATAAGCAGTTACATGTTTGGATAAAAGTGCTGAAATTAATAATATGCAGATGAAGAACTGGATATACGAAGAGTTTTGTTTTAAAAAGAAGTATTTTAGGGATAGAATAGTAAATATTTTGGTCAAACTTAAAGTGCTTATAAGCTGAAATTTGATAAGTTGGGGAAAACCAACTTATAGCTTTTGGCTTATTTTTGGCTTATAAGCACTTAACTTATAAGCACTTTTAATTTTACCAAACGCGTAGATAAGCCAAAAAGTGCTTATAAGCCAGTTTGACCAACTTATAAGCTTAGCCAAACACCCTCTTAGAAAATGATCCTATACACTTATTGGTTGTCAGTTTTTTTTTTTTTTTTTGCTGGATTGGTAAATTTATGTGATATTTACTCCACTTATATTGTTAATTATAAACAAATTTTACTCGTTTGGCATGACTTTGTGATAGTTTAGTTCACCAAACTTTACCATATTGACATGACATAGCATTCGACATATTTGTTAGATTGTTCACAAATTTTACCTAATTCTATATTTATGCACTTGCTTTTGATCATGGTTTAAATAGAAATAGGTCGATTTTGTTGGAAAATCCAGGTTATATATTGTACTTGTTCGATTGTTCAACAAATTCTACCTATTGACGTGACTTTGTGTTATCTACAATTGACCTATTTGTTAAATTGTACATCAAATTCTACCCGATTGGCATACTTATTCTGTGTTGTTTAATAAAGTTTTACGAAATTGCAACTCTAATTTCAATCAAATAACCCCAAAACTGCTCCAAATGATCTCAAATTTAAAACAAAACATCCAAATACCAACACAAATGATCTCCAATCACTAACTTAGCCAAATAACACCAAAATAAGAAGAACCATTTCATTTTCATCGACACTTTCTAAGGATCAATAATGAAGTTTTGAGATTTTTAAAGTAAATCACTAAATCAGTATTTGAGCTAAAAATTTAAATATAAATTATCAACATTCAAATAATTTTAGTAATGATCAATCATTAGCTTTCACTTTTCGCCTCCAAATAAGTATTTTAAGACTATAGTGTTCCTCATATACTTAATCAATTAAGCCACCGAGAACCTTATGCATTATAAAGTAAATCAGATATTCTTACGTTTATTGAAGGAAAAAAGAAAGAACTGTAAGTAGGTAAAAGATGTCACTGATTGCATTCAAATATACAAAATTGAGCCCTTCATCCACAAAGAATTAAGTAACCTTTTTTATTTAAGCAATACAATATTATGAAATGATGGGAAAAAATATTATATATTCAAAAATTATATTCATCAAAATAATATAATACGTATAATACAATACGGTAAAACAAAAGTACATCTGAAAAACACCGGGTTCTCTTCTGAAGTTTCTCTCAGCGCACGTTAACGTGGCTTAGCTAACGTACGCTGCTGGAGGCCATGGGAGGAAGAGGACGATCTAAACGAAACTCAAAAAAAATTCTGTCCACTGATCCGAGATCCACTGATGCAAGGAAAGCAACAATGAAACTTTTTGTCTCATCCAAAGGGGTGAGAATTGAGGAGCCAACTGAAAACACCACTCCGAGGAACAGGACGAATGAACAGAGCAATATAGCCTCAGATCCAGCAATCAACAATGGCAAGCAAAAAGCAGTGATAGCAACACCTGAAAGTAGTAGTGCAATAGACCGTAGATCTGGGAGCGGAACGATAGAGATCAGCTCAAAAACACCAAAAACTAATGCAACAGTGCCATGCCAATCCGACAAGGCTGAAAACCCCAAAAACACTGGCCAATTGGTGAAGGCAAGTGGAATTCAATCATGGGCAAATGCTGTAGCAAGTAATAAACTAGCATTGAGAGGTATGAGTCTTCAATATATTGCACCAATAATACAAGACGAGGAGAAAATTGTGCAATTAGACCTGGAGAATGTTGAGCGGAAAAATAAAAAATGGAGCACGGCACTAATTCTGTATGTAATTTGGAATTCACCATCCATAGAAGCAATGGAACGATTCCTTAACTCAGTGGGTAAGTACTCCATGAAACCTCAGATCTATTATCATAATGATGACTATTTTGTAATTTGATTTGCAAATTTGGAGGAAAGGAACTAAGTCCTATATACTGGGCCTCATACCATAAACAATCACCCCATTGTAATGAAAACATGGACACCAGACCTCAATTTTCAAGAAGAAATACTTAGAACCATTCCACTATGGGTGAAGTTTGCAAACCTTCCCCTGAATTGCTGGAGTGTAAAGGCTGTGAAGTTTCCAAACTTTCCCCTAAGTTGCTGGAGTGTAAAGGCTTTAAGAAAAATTGGAAATGCCTTGGGTAATCCAGTATATGCTGATGACTGTACAACTAGCATAGTAAGGATATCTTATACTAGAATGCTGATTGCGGTGGACGTTACTAAACCCCTACCTAGAAGGGTGAAGATGTAATATCCAATAGGGAGAACAATTGAGCATGAGATAACCTATGATTGGGAACCTACATACTGCACCAAATATCTACATATAGGGCATAATTGCACTGAGAACATAATGCAGCAGCCACAAAGGCAGCAATACAGAGGGAGAGACAATAAAGTTAAGCAAATCTAGCAAAAGACCGGGAGGGATGTACCTAAGGAGAATGTTCAGAAGAATTATAAAATAAAGAGGCTGGAAACACCAAAATCTCTAGAGGACAGTACAATGCAGATTACTGCAGCTATTAAACAACCTCCATAAGAAGGGTGGACAACAATAAGTGGGAAATCAGCAGCAAAGAAGGCAAAAATAAAGCTAGCTGAAGGCAAATATCTTGGTGACAGTAATGGATTCCAATCTTTAGAAAGAGGACAAGATAACATAACTAATGATCCAGGACCAAGCAATGTGTAGATGGGGTCTTACAGGGGACATGAGCTATATCATGATGCACAATTCATCCTAGTATGAGTGTAATTACATGAAATGTCAAAGGAATAAATAAAGCATACAAGCAAAAGGAAACAAAAGAGTTCATAAAGCAGAATAAAAAAGCAGTAACTGCACTACAGAACACAGAATAAAGGAGCAGAAAGCTAGTAATATTATCAACAAAGTTGCACCAGGATGACACTGGATATCAAACTTCAACAACAACAATAAGAGCAGAATATGAATTTTTTAGGACCTAAGAATTTTTTATTTTGAACTAATTGACATGGATTGCCAATACATACATGGACAAGTCAGAAGACGCTGAAGAATAATAGCATTTGGTTTTACTGCAGTGTATGGTTTGCATACTATTAAAGATAAGGTTGAGAATGTGGCACAAACTGAGAGAAATAAACAGTATACAACAGGGACCATGGATAGCAACGGAGACTTCAATTCAGTACTTAATAGCCAAGATAGACAGCATGGTACTGTAATACAAGATATGGAAACGAAGGATTTCAGGGAATTCATGAATGACACTACATGAATGAATTACCTACTGTTGGTAGAGACTATACATGGACAAATAACCATACTTATAGCAGGATAGACAGGGAAATAGTTAACACAAACTGGATGATGACAATGCTCAATCTGTATATACAAATCCTAGAACCATCTTTCTCTGACCGTTCACCCCTAAAACTGATGATCTCACAAGTGCAGAGGAAGAAAGCTAGTTTATTTAGATTCTTTAACTACTTAGCTGATCACCCCCAATTCCAATCAGAAGTAGAACAAGCATTGAATACAACTGGAGATACCGAAAAATTACAAGGAGTGTGGAATAAGTTCAAGAGAGTTAAGCAAGTTATTAAGGGCCTCAACACACAACAATACAACGGTGTTGATGGCAATATCAAAGAAATCATAAGGGAACTACAGGAAGTGCAGGAGAAAATGGATGTAGAAAGCTGAACACGGAATTAGTTAAGAAGGGAAAGGAACTGAAAAGTAATCTAGAGAAGTGGATACTGATTGAAGAAAGCATCTATAGGCAAAGGTCAAAGGTGCAATAGCTGAAGCTGAGAGATTCTAATTCTGCATATTTCTTTGCACATATGAAGAATAGGAACACCTTAAATGGAATCCATGCTCTCACTACTGATCTAGGGGTTCAGGTATATATAGAGGAGGAAATAGAGACTGAAATTCTTGGCTATTATAAATATGTGCTAGGGTCAAATGCTCCTGCATCCCAACAATAAATCCAAATGTCACGCAAAAAGGTACAATGCTCAAAAGAGAACAACAACTTCAATTGATACAGCTTGAGTGGACGGGTATTTAGGGTAATTCTTCATTAAAAAATTAAAAACATAAATATAGTTTGGATATTTGGGCCGCTAATTTTATGGTAAATTTAGCCAAATACGTCATATGCTACTAGGTTATTGACAGGAATGGCCCTATAAAGACCTAGACTTCAAATGTTATCCTAGTTTTGAATGTATTTAGAAAATGACCCTATACACTTATTGGTTTTCAGAGTTTTTTTTTTGCTGGATTGGTAGATTTTATGTGATATTTACTCTCCTTATATTGTTAATTATTCACAAACTTTACTCGTTTGGCATAACTTTGTGATCGTTCAGTTCACCAAACTTTACCATATTGACATGACATTATGTTATCTACATTCAACATATTTGTTAAATTATTCACAAACTTTATCCAATTATATGTAATTTTGTACGTGTTCAATTGTTCAACAAACTCTATCAGATTGGCTTTA